AAATGTTGTGGGGCCCGGAAAAGTAAGTGTAAGATCGCAGAGCTGGGTTCAGTTCTCTCCATACATTCGTAATGTTGTGAGAATGAAGATGATCATAAGACATTCTGGCCACCAGGGTGGATTTATATACATGTCGGTAAGTGAGGAACATCTGTAGTCTAGTTTTCTCTATCTAATCAGAGTCCCCACATAAAAGAACTGAACTTCAGATGTTCAAGAGGAAGGTCTAAAACCTGGGAAAGAAAGTGACGCATTAGGGGCATAATGCTTGAGGATTGTGACATCCATACCTTGCAGAGAGCCATGTAATAGAAAATATCGACACTGAGGGTCATAAATTTGCTGATAACATTCTAAAAGCGAAAATACCCCCCTATGCTTAGTGGGCGCAGAAGCCATAAAAACCTGGGGAAAGGCAGGAGAAAAATAAGTAGGTGCAGAGATCTGCACAAAATGCATCTCCTGGACACATGCCACAGCAATCTGTTTAGACCAGAGACACATTGTTCTACCTTTTAGTTAGAGAGCTCAAACCCTGAGCAATAACCGTCAAAATTCTTAGCAACATTGCAAGACAACACAAGGAGCCTCGATAGTAGTAATAGCAACAGATATGAGTACACACCTGCTCATACCAATGTGGAAAAAAAAATATCCCTAGGGCAGAATTGCATACAGAAAAAAGGAAAAGGAAAGAGCCAGAATAATTAGAAGAGAAGAGATGAAGACAAATGTTGAAAAACCTGTGCATAGGAGAGCGCACAATTTTGACAGAAACACTATGTCACTACATAGGGCACAAATAGAAATCCCTGCCCTGAGAGGCACAGAGAAGTCCAAGTACTGCATTAGGAAACATGTAGCTACTAAATAAAAGATAAAATATGAACATAACTTTGCTAATGGAAACAAGCATAAATTTGTATTATTAAAGGAGAACTATGAGATGAGTGATTTCCACTCACCTCATAGTTCTAGCCGACCTGTGACAATGAGACTGTCACAGGTCGGCTCAGTAGATCGGGAGGTGAGCGAACACATAACGGGTTCGCTCACCTCCCGATACTGTCACGGCTCTCTGCTGTGACAGGGGGAGGGGCTGGATTCCCCTCTCCGATCTGCCAGCGCTGACTGGCGGAACGGACGGGGGAGGGGGCTGGTACAGCTGGCTCTGCCTCTAGATAGGCATCATCTACGTCGGGATCCGCTCTGGCTGCGGTGTCTCAGCATACCGCGAGCTGTAGCTCGCGGTATACTGAGCTTAGGGTAACGGGAGGACGCTAGTTTGTGTCCTCCCGTTACCCTAAGGAGAACTATGGGGAAAAACACTGACCCCATAGTTCTCCTTTAAGCATCAATCAACTTCCAAACTAAAGCAAATAGGAGCAAATGAGGAAAGACAGTTAGTGAGACACTGATAAATTTGCCAGGAAAATTACATTCAACAGCCGGGTCCACCAGCCTATATACCAAACCTTCTAGTGAGTCTTCACAAACACAAACAATAGTCTATACTCAAATCTCCATGAAGGTCAAAGCAAAACAATGGTAACGAGTTAAAGGAGAACTATGGGGTTAAGTCTTTTCCCCATAGTTCTGCTTAGGGTAACGGGAGGACACAAACTAGCGTCCTCCCATCACCCTAGGCTCAGTATACCGCGAGCTACAGCTCGTGGTATACTGAGACGCCGCAGTATACCGCAAGCTGCTGTTCGCGGTATACTGAGAAGCTGAAGTGGATCCCGACAATTGTGCCGGGATCCGCCTATCTGCGTGACTGACAGCTGGCTCTGCCTATCTAGATGAACCCGGTATGTGTTCGCTCACCTCCCGATCTACTGAGCCGACCTGTGACAGTCTCATTGTCACAGGTCGGCTAGAACTATGAGGTGAGTGAAAAGCACTCACCTCATAGTTCTCCTTTAAGGTAATAAAAAGTCAAACATAAGGCTCTTGAAAACCATAGCCATGACTGTAGCATCAAGCCCCAGGTGCAAAATAGACAAGAGGCAACTAAACTAAAGTCTGTCAGCACATCCTCACCTAACGTAAAGAGCAAAACACTTAAATAGTAAAAAACCTGGGTTCCAAGATGTAGGATATTGCGCAAGGTGTTGAGCCTTTCACTAGGCATCCAGGAGAATGATGGTTAGCTCCTGTCTGCTGCAGGGAATGTGCCTTAGATGACTCACTCAAACCAAGGCCAGGTGGTAGCTATAGGCCCAGCTTTTGTTTAAATCTTGCATGCTGAGATTTATTTTTCATGCACAGTTGTTTCCAGACTTGGGATCGCCCCTTTTATTTCATGCAGGAACATGGTATACAGAGTTGATCCAAATAGACATTGTCCCTGAAAGGGCATGCAAATTTGTTGCTTTTTAGACACGGGTTCTCTAGGCCAGCACTTTAATCAAAGCCAAAACAGTATTTTCTAGCTTGGGAATAATGGCAGACAGGATTAATAACAGGACCTGTCAGCAAAAACGGAGCTCTAGAGAGGGCTTCCAACCACTTATTGGCTGGGCCTATAAAGATTGGTGCATCCTCCACCGGAATGTTTCTTGGCTACCCAGATGTTACATTGGTTCAGATGGATCATGCACCTTCAGAAACCATCGCTGGAACTGACTCCTCGTTTGGAGTATCTGGGTCTAGTCCTGGACGCAGCTCAAGCCAGAGTCTTTCTCCTTTAGGGGAAACTCCAAACTCTAAGATTCGAGCTGGTCCAGGAGTCGTCCAACTCAGGAATCCCGCTCTGGAATCAATGAAACCCTTCTCATCTTTTGGAAGATATCCATGAAGGATGCCAGCCTGTTAGGTTGGGGAGCTGTCCTGAGTAACTTGTCTGTGCAGAGAACTTGAGGAATTTTATCTCCCAATCAGCATCCCAGAACTTTGGATGATTTGTTGTCTTTGCAGCATTGGATCATCCTGCTGGAGGGTCATCAATCTGCATTCAGTCAGAAAGTGCCACAACCGTGCCATACATCAATCATCAGGAAGCATCCAGAAGTTTCGCTGATGCAAGAGAGGTAAACCGCATCCTGTCCTGGGCAGAACTTCACCTTTCAGCCTTGTCCGCTGTTTACATCGCAGGCAGACTTCCTTAGCTGGCAACGGCTGGACCCATGGGAATGGTCCCTAATCCTGGAGGTGCATTAGGACCTGTGTTGCAGATGGGGGACAGTGCATGTGGACCTCCTGGTTCAACAACAAACTGTTCAGGTTTGACTCCAGGTACAGGGATCGTTTAGCGGAAGCAGTGGATGCTCTGGTAATTTCTTGGATCAGTAGACACTGATGTTTGCCTTTCTTTCCTTTTAAACTTCTTCCTCACCTGCTTTGCAGGATCAAGATGGATGGCATTCCAGTGAACCTAATTGCTCCAGATTGGTCGATATGGTTGTGGTACTTCGAACTGGTAAGACTTCAAGCGGATGCTGCATGGGCTCTGCCAGAGTATCCATATCTTTCTCAAGGACCTCACGGTCTCTGACTTTAATGGAATATCTGTTAAAGACCAGGTTTGTGATCCACTTCATGTCAAAAGCTGGAAAGTCTACTTCTTGCAAGATTAGCATCGTACATCAGTGCTTCCACATTTGGATATTTTCTGTGGGGCGAGTCTCCTTCTTCCTGCAGCTGTGTCTGAACCAGCGTTAGCGTTTTGCTCTCTGCACCATCAAAGGCCAAGTTTCTGCCATCTCTATCTTGTTTCAGAGACCTTTAACCTCTTACTCCTTGATGAAAACCTTTTTACAGGGAGTCTCCCATGTAGCTCCCCTGCACTTCTTTCAATCTGCTTCTCTCTGTGCTTTAGAAACCTCCATTTAAATCCATTGGGGACATTTATCTCTCTACTCTAACCCACATGGTGGCATTCCTAGTAGCCACCACCCCTGCAAGGTGAGTGTCTTAACTGGTGGCCTTATCCAGCAAAGTATTTTTTTTTGGATTTGCAAAGGGACAAGGTGGTGTTGAGGTCCAGGATTCCTTCTTACCTAAGGTAGCTTCTGCATTGCTCCTCAACTAGTACATTGTTGTTCTGTTCCTTTGTCCCTCTCTAGTTCACCCAAAGGAATCTCCCTCTACGGCTGCAACCAACTAATCGATAATGAGAATAGTTGTCAATTATTCTCATTATCGATTAGTTGGTTGGATCCCCACAGCAGACAGTGGGCGGGTGCAATAGCCAGCCTGCTATTGGCTATTGCAGGCTGGCTGTTGCACCAGCCCACTACCTGCTTTATTCACATTCAGCTGCCATCTGTGGAATCTTGCCACTGGCACGTGCTTAAAATACAATTAGAAGAAAAATTATAAAAGGTGGAAAAAAGTCATTTTTGGTTTCGGCCTGACAAATTCTGCTGCAGGGGTTGCGTTGCAGTGCCATTAATTTTTATAGCACCCCAAACACACCTCCCACCCACAGTGTGATCTCCCGCTCTGGAACGCACTGTTCCGCAATTCCGTGCACTACAGTGCAGTGCAATTGCAAAAATTAGTGCATGCAGCTTTATTGTGAAGTAAACTTTGTCTGTAACACTGTATTTGTGTATTTTTTTTTTTAATTAGGGATGCTATTTATTCTATTCAATGGACTAGAAAGAAAATAGGATTTTTGTACTCACCATAAAAAGGTTTCTTGGAGTCCCTCTCTTTGTTTATAATCATGCTCTTGGTACTGCTGGCTACAAAACTGAGACATGCTGATAGTATTAAGAGTTATCCTGGGCTGGAGTGCTGCTGTTTTTTTTTGTTTGTTTGCCAGTGTCCATATCTGTCTCTAGGCAGCAGTATGACTGGAAAGTGATTGTCTTCCTGTGTCCCTCAATGGACTCCAATAAAATAATTTTACAGTAAGTTTAAAAATCCTATTATTCTGTATGTAAAGGCCTTCTGTTAATAAATACAGATGATTTATTGTTAAGACGGGAAGAAGCTGAGATTATTTTGTACAGGTTGTGCAGTCGCTTATGTTCATTAAATCCACTTTATAGGAGAAGAGGACCGGAATGATCACCGGAGGGCACCAGCACCTTGTTAGCTGTTTGGAAACCTTACAGAAAGCTTTGAAAGGTGAGCAGTTTTAAGAATATGTTTGTTCTCTGTTACCTGCCGATGCCAAGAATGTTTTCTGTACCATAAGTCTCATTCTTGCTTTTTTAGTGTCTTCCCTTTCTGCAATGACGGATCGCCTGGAGTCAATAGCAAGACAAAATGGGTGAGCCAAAGTATTGGTTACCAGCAACAAGTGTATTTGTTGTAATATAAACATAATCAAGGGTATTTATCAAAACTAGAGCAGACAAAATCTGGAGCAGCTGTGCATGACAACCAATCAGCTTCTCTCTTTCATTTTCAAATCTTAACTGAACAAACTGAAGAAAGAAGCTGATTGGTTGCCATGCTCCAGATTTTGTCTGCTCCAGTTTTTATAAATTCCCCCCAATGTAAAGTTATAATTTTAATAGCATAACACTGGTCAAAATTCCTACCACATTTCTAGATTTATGGCCCACATACATCCTACCCCTTCAACATGCGTTCTCCAAATGTTAAAGTAGTATTACATTCTCTAACTTTTTTTAAATAATCCAGATCAAAAGATCAAATAAATATACATTGCCCAGCAAAGCATTGCTTTACATTTTTGCCCAGACACTTATAATGATCATGTTTCTAAACAGCTGCTTTCAGGTCCCTCAACTCTGGTTCCCTTAACTTCGTGTTCAGTACAATATCCCAAAGGACAGTGCAGACTCCATCAACTGTTCATCTTCTAGCTTGGAGAAAGGGGGGGGGAGGTGAGTAGCTTGATTTGCTGTGTCTATAGAGACACTAGCACACACAAGGGTGACTGCATAGCACTTTGCCTGAGAAAGAAGCACTCTAAAACAGGAAGTCAGGAATCAGGGCCAGTGCTTAGGGGACCAGCTGATTCTGCAGGAAACTAAAACTTTTACACATCAAGGATCAGCATTCATTGTAAGTGATTTCATCAGCATTTGAAATAGCTTCAAATTCTTTTGACCTTAATATGACTTTAACATCAGCCCCTTAAAGGAGAACTATGGGGTCAGGGTTTTTCCCCATAGTTCTCCTAAGGGTAACGGGAGAACACAAACTAGCGTTCTCCCGTGACCCAAAGCTCAGCTACAGCTCGCGGTATACTGAGACTCCGCAGCCGGGACGGATCCCGACAATACTGTCTGTATCCACCCAGCTGCGGCATTGACAGCTGCCTCTGCCTATCCAGAGGCAGAGCCAGCTGTGCTCGCCCCCTCCCCGTCCGTTTCGCCAGTCAGCGCTGGAGGATCGGACAGGGGAGGGAATCCCTGCAGGGAGCCGTGAGTGACAGTGACACGGCTCTCTGCAGGGATAGATCGAGAAGTGAGCGAGCGACGGTATGTGTTCGCTCACTTCCCGATCTACTGAGCCGACCTGTGATGGTTTCATTGTCACAGGTCGGCTCAGATTATGAGGCTGAGTGAAAATCACTCACCTCATAATTCTCCTTTTTAATTGTTGGGATGATGCACATGGATTACCGCAGATGCCGAACCCATAAAAGGTCAGGAGAAGATGTCAGGAGAAGATGTCAGCACTAGCGGCGAGCTAGTGCACATTGCATCACTGGAACTGCTAAATTTTCTTTCTTCTTTGACAGTAAATGTTTAGATTCTTGCGGGAGCCCAATTATGACTGTTTTTTAAAGCTGAGTTACACTGAGAATACACAATATTTGCTGGATCTTTTGAAATGTGAAGTTGATTAGCAATTTTTTAACGTAGTGGACGTTGATGGAGTGACTAATCTCTCTTGCTGTTGTCTCTCCAGTCTTACATCACACTTAAGTCCAAACGGTACAGAGTGTTACATTAGTTCAGACCTCTTCTACTTAGAAGTTCATCTTGATCCAGAAGGTCAGCTGTGTGATGTCAAGGTTGCGCATCAAGGAGAAAGCCCTATGGTGAGTGTCAATCCATCATGTGTAAGATTTTAAATGATCATGCTTCGTTTAGTATGGTTGCCATTAAATTACACAAATTTCTGTTTCCTGCTATTTTCTTTTCTGTTACACTAGTCAACACATTTTTTTCTTTCTTTGTGGCACATGAATCATACGGTTTTTTTTGTGCTGAATTCAAACAACGAATCAAAGTTTCCCTATATAGCAAGGATCTTGAGTGACACACAAACACACACACACACTCCCCTAAGAACAAGATGTGTAAGATTTTCTGTGGTACTTGGCCTCAGGAACATCCCACTTACCAGTCCATCAGACGTCAACAAGCATACTGGGATTGCCCTAGGCTTGATACCACTTTTCCATATCAGAAGTGTCTTGAAGAAACTGTTCATCATGCTTATTGGGTGGCTGTTCTGAGCTAAATCCAGAAGAGAATGCAAAAAATGAACCTTTCCACTATTTATTGGTAGTTATCTGCCTTACTGTTTCTTATTTCCCCCCCAAATTTTCCTTTACATGCTCTTGAAAGATTGCCATATCCTCTTCAGCTTGGGTCAACCGGTCATCTGATTTCTCTTACTGAATGGATTCCTGAATTTGAAGTCATACAAAAATTCCTTTCTTGATCTTAGCATTACTAATCCTAGAATTTTTTTTTTCTCTTATCCATGAATAGAAGTCTGTTTTTTTTTTGTTTTTTATTTAATTCTTTATTTTAGCGTTTTCATAAAACAGGTAATCGCAAACAAAACACATAATACATAAATCAGCTATCACATATCTTTTCCACATGTGAGATCTAGACTGGGCCTAACCAGCCCCAAATAAATTCACAAAGTAACCTGAGCATAGTAAGAGCATATAGGGATGGTCTGGGGGCTGCCTATAGGGGGGGACATGTCTAATGGAAAAGGACAGTCACAGTGGCAATATTTCATCTGAACTATTAGGCGAGACGTGCGGTGTTTCCGAGCTACGCGCAGTCTGAGGGAGCTGGCTATCATGAGCCAGGTCACCCGAGAGTGTTATGTAGATATTGGCCACTGTGAGATAGCCGGAGCACTTCCGACAAGGACAAGACAAGAACGGAGGGTAGGAGTTATTGGTGGTGTATAATGGTTAAATGATTCAGCTTCTATCATTAAGTTTCAGCGTAACTGTGTACTATAGGCAGTCTGATTCGACACGTTTATTACATTTAGGGACACAGAGACCTTACTCAATTGGGAGACAGTAGGGATCAAAGTAGGGACTGTCAGAGGGGCACATTGTATGTTAGAACCAGCAGGGGGGGGGGTGAGGTGAGTTATTCCCCCCCAGTGAAACAAGGGGCCCACTAGGAGTTCCATATTCTGGGGAGTAGAGGAACTCCAGCCAGTAGAACCATATCTTCCCAACTTTGGCATCCGTGTGATGCAAAGTGGCAGTCAGTTCCTCCATCACACGGATCTCATCCACTTTAGTGAGCCACAGTTTCACCGAGGGAGGAGCAGGACTCTTCCAACATAGCGGTATGCAGGCTCTCGCCGAATTAATCAGGTGAATCAATCGGGATTTGCGGTACCGAGACCTGGGTAAGGAGGTCTAGAAGTCTGTTTTGATCCTTTGCCTAAGAAAAGTTCTCCTTAAAGTGACATTAAACCCTCAGATTTTTTAACATAAAACAATACTGTTGTGTGCCTTACTGTATGTAACGCTGGGGGGTTGGTTGATAACGGTATGTGTGGATCTCAGCTTCAGAGGAGTGTGGGTATATGGATATGGGTAGTAGTTCACGTAACCAATCAGGAAGTAATTTGTTTTATTAGTATAGGTTCATACACTCATGAATGGGAGCGAGTGGTATACTGATAGTTATGACTGTTCACAGTAAATACACTGAGGAATGGCAGTTAGCAGTAATTATACTGAGTAATGACAGTTCAGAGCAGATATGAGTGATGGCAGTTCAGATAATATAATATGAGAGTGATACTTGCGGTGAGAAGCTCTGAGGGTTGTTGCTGCCACCCGATGGTCACGAAGGGGTAGTGCGGGTCTTCTCTCAGCTGCTGGAACTGGATGAGAGATCTCACTCTCAGGAGGTGTGGACGGAGGTAGAGCCGTGGAGAGGCTGCAACAGCCTAGGAGGAGGGGCTCTGTCCGGCCCAACACTAGAGGCCAAATGGGGCTCTTGTCCGGCCCAATAGAACGGGTACAAGCTAGGGCTCTATCCGGCCCAATAGGAGGCAGTGAGATGGGGCTCTCGTCCGGCTCAATGGTGCGGTCTGCTGCGGGGTTATTTGCCTGGCGTCAGACTCCAAGCTCGAACGCCAGGCAAATGATTCTGTGGCACTAAATAGGGAAAGGGGGAGGAGTCAGATGACGTCACCGATCGTGACGTCACTCGAGCTCCGACATGCCGCTCGTGAGTGCCGGAACAGCTGTTAGGAGGTAGGAACTTTACACTGTAATCCATGGTTGTTTCCCTTCTCTTTGCTGCTCTTCCTTTTAAATCTGTATCTGTTCTCATGCTGGGCAGAACTTCTGTTTTGCAGCAGACTGCCTTGTCTCTGAAATGGATACATGGTGTCTGTGTGAAGGTTCACAACCTGAGCCAGCACTACAGGAAGAGGCACTCAGCTGCAAAGGGAAGTTCTCCCCTAGCATGAGAAGAGAGAAGGATTTAAAAGGAAGAGCAGCAAAGAGAAGGGAAACTACCCTGGATTACAGTAAGGCACACATTACAGTATTGGTTAATGTTAAAAAATCTGAGGGTTTAATGTCACTTTAAGTCCTAGAGCAGTATGCAGCAAAAGGCACACACTGGTGTTCACAAGTAGTGTGGTGATAACATTCTACTTTCCTGGAGTCAGTCATGTTTATTATGGCCACTGTTTTTAGGTGTAATAATTTTTCTTATGTTTTCTGTCCCATTCATGTTTTATAGCCTGTAACCCCTGGCAAAAGAGGCCTATAGTATTTTGAGCCCTTTTTTAAAATCCTAAAAATGTTCACAAAGTGAAATAATAGCTTTTTCTTTTTCAATCATTAAAGCACACAGGATTCATAGACTGCTGGGTTATAATGCCGCCTACAGGAGGATGTGGACACTGGCAAACAAAAAAAAGTGGCCAGTCCCGTATAACCCCTCCCACCCCCAGGATGCCTCATTTCTTTTGCTAGTGTTCTAGGAGGATGGACATGTGAAAGTCTTAACCCTTTCACTAGCCATTTTTTCAACATTCAATATCATTTTTTTCTTCAATCAGGACTTTTCTACAGGCTGCTTGAGCTAGTTTAGTTGCACAGATATCCGGATCAGCTTATCCTCCGCAATTGCTTTGGAGGCTGGAGCCTGATGGAATGAATGATTGTGGGTCTAGCGTACATGTGCCTTCTGGGCACGGGGCTCCACATTGTGGTGCTTTGCAGAACTGAGTGTACTGTGTGGGTAGCTGGATTTTGGGTCCAGAACCATGGCGCAGCCTCTGGTGTTAGCCAATTTCTGAAGACTCCCTGTGTGAGTGGGCCTTCTAGGCTGAGCACCGGGAGCAACCTAGTGAATAATACTGCTAAGCGCCATTATTACCCCTATTATTTCTGTTGGTTTACTGCAGAGGCAAGGCTGCCACATGGCTTTCTGTTCACATTTTCTATGTTTTGCCAGGTGTCTGTTCAGGCCTTATCTGGGTGTAAGGTCCTTCAGGCGAATCTTTGAGTTGGACTGCTTTTGGTTGTCTCTGAATCCTGCCTTTGTAAGGGCTAGCCTTTGTTTGAAATCCATGTCTGGATTAAGAACTGAACTACTGAACACTATGCATTTCAGGGTTTCATTTTCAGTCAGATTTGACTGGAGTATACATTGAAAAAGATTTTGTTGCTATTTTGAAAAACTAAAACAGGCAATTCCTGCAAAGCAATAGTTACAATTTAGCTGTCCTGCTGTCTATGCCACTGAACGTCACTGTGTTGAAGAACACCAGAGTTTAGCAGGGGACCAGGAGATCTTTCAGCAAGATTATCTCTTCAGTGACAAGACAGGTAAATATTGTTTGCTTTTCAGCGATGGCCTCTTTCCAGCTTTTCAAAATAATGGCAAAATCACTTTAAAGGTTTACCTTAGTCAGAATTAAAAATTAAACCTTGAAATGCATATAGTGTTCAGTAATTCAGTTTTTAATCCAGGTGTAGATGTAATGCATTGTTTTACCCAGTTGCTTTTTTTGGTGTTTTGTTTCAAATGCCTACTTATGTAACGGCATAGTTCCTAGACCCAGTCTGTGCGGACAGTACGTCTAACTAGCAGCAAACAGGGTAGCATACCAAGAGGCACTGGTAGTCTAGTAACCACTGATTATTATGAGCCATATACCGTAGTGTATAATCCCAGACGCGCCTACTGTAGATTCCTTACTATAACTCAGAACCAAGCCATTCGTTAACGCAAAAAAGAAGTGAAGAATGAAACAAGTATAGGCAGCAACTATACCACAGCAGGGCAAGAAATTTCAGATGTTTACACTTTTAGTAAACACAAATATATTAATTGCATAGGGAACTCCACATTCTCTTTAGTTAATGACCCTGTTCATTATCAATATAATAGTAGAAACTGGATCAACTGTTATAAGGCTCCATTACACCTAAAGCGTTGACGAGCGACAAAACGCTCAACCCTAGGAATCCCATTCAGTTCTTTGGCCCCTCTTCACACCTGGGCATTTTGTCGCAAGTGGAAATACGCCTATTGCACGAAATACCTGTACTACATGAGCTACTTTGGGGCAGATTCAGCACGTTTTCTCCCCTTTGACTCAATAGAAAACGCTTGAAAAACATGCATTGCAATTATTTTTGAGCAGGTTCAGCATGTTTTGCTCATGCACATGAATATGCCACAATCTGCTTGTAAAAACATGCAAAAAACACGCGTAATAGGTGTTGTTTAGGTGCGGATGCAGGCTTAATGCCAAGTACTGCTATGTATCTATTTATGTATTTGTTTTGCTATTTATTCAGCATGTAATCTAATCCTATTTGTTTCCTTTAAACTTTTCAGAGTAGTCCAGAGCTTGTACAGCAGTTAAGGTTGGTTGCCTTTTTATCACTGTACCATTAACAAGTAGGTTACAAATAGTATTTTGTAGGGATGCACAAATACTGTTTTTTGGGTATCGAGTACGAGTACCCATATTTATATCTCAGTACTCATCGATACCGAGTACCAATTCCGTTGTCATTACCTGCCCCGAGCTCCTTGATTGGCCGGGAAGCCGGCTCCATGCTGATTGGCTGGGAAGCCGGCTTCCCGGGGTGATCAAGAAGCCAGGCGGCTGGAAGCCGGCTTCCCTGACAATCAGCATCAAGCGGGTCATTACCCGCCTCCCAGCTTCCTGGTTTCCCGGGAAAGCCGGCTCCATGTTCCCTCGCACCACTGCCGGTCAGAGGAAATCTCCCTCAAACCAGAAGTTCCGATATCGGGGATAAGTATCGGAGCATTTGGGCTAGTACAAGTACTTGCCGAAATACTCGGTATCAGTGCATCCCTAGTATTTTGTATATATATATTTTTTAAACAAAAAGTTACTCTGTACTACCCATTGGTCCATTTTGTGGTTTATACAAAATCACTAATTATTTAAATTCTCATTTAAACAAGTGTTTCACAATAAGCTTATTGTTCCCTAGGGAGAAGAATTTTGAGGATTTTTCTCAGTACCTTAAGAGTCTGGTGAACCTGTACAAGATGCCTGGGGACAAGTGAGTGACTGCTGACTGGTGGATGGTGTACATATTGTGTGTGATCATGTCTTAGTTACTGACATTTTCTTTTCAGGAAAATGTTTTTGGCACTTCAGTCATTGGAGATGGACCTCACAAAAATGGCTGCAATGTATTGGTAAGCATTATGTTCTCCAGTCTGGGCTTGAAATCAAATTTTATACAACATATAATAAGTAAAAACTGATGGTGTTGTTGGGCATGTGACTATTTTTCAGGCAGCTCACCAATGCCAGTGTTTTGGATAAAATACTACAAGGCACCGTAGGCTATCTGACTCCTAGGAGTGGAGGTAATAGCAGGAATTATCTTTTTTTAGGGCGGTTAACATTCATAGTGCCAATGGCACAAGTGGGTTGTCTGTAATAAACATGCTACCATATTCTTTTTCACTTTGAAGGTCACGTCATGAATTTGAAGTATTACATCACTCCATATGACCTTTTTGATGATGTCACTGGGGCTTCCATTGCACTTAATGAAGGGCATGGTAAGTTATGTACTAACAGATGAGCTCTGTTTAATTGTTCTCACTGGCTGTCATGTTACATGTCCCCAGACAATGTTATGAGCATTGGGGTTGCTACAGGTAAACTGTAATTGATAGCGTTATATCTCTGTTTAAAAGAATATATGCTGTATGTGTTTTTTATGAATATATATATTTTTATCTATATA